GTTATATGCTTGTAAACTTTTATTTGATTAGCTAATAAAAGTTAATTGCCTATAGTATATATTAAATGCTTCTTAATGTATTAATAAGATGCTAATAAGTCCTTGCTTGTATTTTACTTGGACAATTTGTTAAATACTATATTTGCTTTCGTTCCTGGTTTCTAGCGTGACTACGTCGCGCGGCTATCTTATTTAATTAATTTTTAAAGTTAATTGCTTGAATGTTCAATTTCCATAGAAAGAAATACATATTAAGAATCACAAAAATACGGATGAAAATTTTTTCCTTTCCCGGAATAGAAGGAAAATTTAACAGTTGCTCACAAAATTACGTACGTAGTAAAAATATTACACTGCATAAACGCAAACGGTTAGAAATATAGACATTACACCACATAAATAATAAGGATTTGTCGATTATTTTACGTATTAGATAATGAGTCATTAAATTTAAAACTCTAATACTGCATCCTCTTGTTTTATTAATACGTAGGGATTTTTTTTAGTAATTGTTATCTTTATTATTCTGTTTAGATTTTATGTAATAGATATTTGGATTTATATTTCACCGCTGACCTTTAAAATTTCAAAGAATGGCATGCCATATAAATCATGCTTTAAACGCGCCCCGTGGATGGAAATACTCGAAACTTAACCAGAGCAAGATCGAAAGTGTTATTTCCCGCGCTCAAGATGCTTTCCTTGGAAAATGGAAAGAATCTTACCTTAAAAGACTTTCCTTCGTCGATAATGATAATACACTAACGCAAGATGAAAAAGATGAGGCTAAGCTGAACCTAACGATCCTTAAGGATAGAGATAATTTGTTGAATCGAAAAGGTGAAACGTATAGATGTGATACATGTGATAAGTTGGGATATATGATTATTTGGTGTCATCATTGCGTAGCAGATTTCCTACGTGATAATGCAAGTAAATGGACTTCAGGAAACGAGTATATAGACCGTCAAATTTATCTTGCCCAAATGAGGGGACCAATACCCGAAGCTATTCCTGAGTGGATTCCATATGAACTATTGACAAATGTGAGCTACTTAACCCAAGGTGGATGTGCTTCTATCTATTCTGCAACATATAATAGAGGGTTATATACAAGATGGGAAAAGGCGACAAGAACATTGTCCCGAGGGTTAATAGGATTCAAAGTCGTTCTAAAAAAGTTGAATTTGAACAACGAGGAAGTTAATCTCAGAGATGAGGTTAGTATGGTTGAAGGTGCTTTCTTTTGCACTAATAAAATGTTAATCAAATTTCCCTGCATAGCTTGAGAAGCATCTTTATGTCTCTAGTGTCTATGATGCGATAGTACGTTGTTATGGTGTCACACGTGATCCCATTACTAAAGACTACATGTTGGTGTTAAATAAGATGAGATACGACTTGCGTGAATATGTCGATAAGCACCACAAAACAATTACGTTGTCCGATATTAATCTTATTTGTAGTAATATTGCCTGCGGGCTTTTCTACCTTCACAAGGAAGGGTTAGTACACCGTGATTTACATCCCGGTAATATCCTGAGAGGAAGAATTGATAATAATTGGTATATCGCTGATCTTGGGTTTACTGGACATCCGAACAAGGCAGCAAATCAGATTATTGGGAATCCTCGGTATATTGCTCCCGAAATATATACTAAAAGAGAATATTCGATAAAATCAGACATATATGCTTTTGGAATGCTGCTATATTATATGATAACTTTTAAGCAACCATTCGCAGGACTATTACATGATGATACCTTGAATCTTGAGGTTTTTATAGGAACTCGTCCAATTATTCCAGATCGAATACCAAAGGCTTACAGTTCGTTAATGCGGCGCTGTTGGGATGTTGATCCTAACAAAAGACCCAGTACAGTAAAAATTTCAAAGGTTTTGTTACTTATTGCAAGTAGAATTAAACAGCAAGATTTCGTGCTGCAAAATGCACCTTCAGAAGCTGATAGTGAGATTTCTCAAAATGTGCATGAGGAAATGGATAGTGGGATTTCAACTGTAAATAGTGGGTATGTTATAGAGTTAATTTCTAAAGATGGTACCTGTGCAATCAATTTTGCTGATAAACAGCACTGTCTCGTGCTGCAAAATGCACCTGCGGAAACGGATAGTGAGACTTTAACTGAAAATAATGAGAATGTTATAAAGTTAATTTCGAATCATGATTCCTGTGCAATCAGTTTTGCTGATAAACAGCACGGTCTTGTGCTGCAAGATGTACCTGCGGAATTAGATAGTGAGATTTCACTAAATACATCTGTAGAAGTGGATAGTGTAAATTTAACTTATAAAGGTGATACAAACTATTAGTTTTGGTGCTATTAAATTATAGAAGACTCCAGATTACATATATGACATACAGTATTAATACTAAGATGTCTTAGCAACTCAGTTGTGCTAAAAACCAGGAGCGAATGCATCAGTAGAATATATTTAAAATTATAACTAGGTACTTAAAATTGTTTGAAGGAAATGTGTTATATTATATTATATAAGTTTATTACATATTAGATTTAGTGAAATTTTATTAAAGTTTTTATATAAGGCCATACAAACTTAATTAATCGGTTTTCATAACCCGGCCGGGTCAATATTTACAAAACTCAAAAAAACCATATAGTGTAACATATTATCTTTAATTTTTTATTTATAAACTAGTTTAAGTTAAAACAAAGCTATTATCAGTTAAAGAAGAGGAAGAAGGAGAACTTAGAATTTTGATATTAGAGTTAGTTAAATGATGAGATTATTGTGAAGTTTTGAATAAACTATTTTTATATATTTGTATTAATATTGTTATTAAAGATAGTTGAATTTTATTGATATGTTGAAGTAGTTATAAGGTTTGGAATATAAGATATTTTTGTTTATTTATATTTAGTAGTAATATTCCTTAGAGTTTTCTAGTCATGTTGGTATTTATTTCATAGTTGCTAAATGTTTTGGTTAAACTATTCAAGAAGATTAGAAAGCTGTATGCAGAAGAGTAAAGTTTTTTTTGTAAAGAAGATGAAGTTGAGTAGTCATATATATATATAAAGTTCTTTGAATAAGTGTTAAATAAATTCTAATAATAATCTGTATTTAGTACAAGGGATGCTTATTGGTGAATAACTAGGTAGAATTATGCTAGTAGTGCAAGCTAGAATTAAATACAATAATATAAAAGATAGTAATTTATAACTGATTAATATTAATGAATATTGTGTAAAAATATAATATAGTTTAAGATAGCAATAATAAAGTCAAATACATAATAATATAGAAAATAATATAATATTAGTTTCATATAAAAGCAGTATTTTAATAAAGAATTAAAAAGAGATTTTTGGTATCAATAAATATTATTAGATAGTAAAAGGGTATTTTTGTATGAAGTTGTAAACTTCAATTTAATATTAATAAAAAGAACTGTTAGAAACATTATTATTATAAAACTATATAAAACTAGATATCTATAACAATAGTTATAGGTTAACCTCTTAACAAAGAAGAATCTAGAGAATTAAAACAGACTTCTTGTGATATTATATAAAAAAAAAAAAACTTATAATAATAATATAATATAGAATATAACAAGTTTGTAGTTGTTAGAAGTTAGATGATTATTAGACAAAGTTGTATATAAAGAAATAATAAATAAGAAAAATACACAAATTAAATACTATAATAGAAAGAATTGATATGTTAATACAAGATTTTAACAAACTATATTACTATAAACATAAAAGTAAAGATATTAAAAACTTTCTGTTTGATTTTGAGATATATGCAGAATCAAAATAGTAAGATAATAATCAAAAAAAGAAAGTAGTCAGCTTTTATATCTTGGAAGGTATGAGGCAATAGATTTATGAATTAATAAAAGTAATATCTATATAGAAAGTCCTGAAAAGCATAATTATAAAAGCTATAAAGACAAAATATTAAATAGAAAAGAAAGTTATAAAGCTTATAAAAATGAAACAAAAAGAAAATAAATCTGTAACTAGATATGAAAACAGATTTGAATTATATACAAAAATAATAAAAAAGAATATAAGAGAAAGAAAAAATAAAAGTAGTTCATTAATGAGTTGAAAAAGAATACTAAGTTAAAGTAGAAATAAATTATTCTGTAGATTTAATAATATTAAAGCATTAGTACTGAAAATTAAAATATACAAAAAAGATAATAATTATGATAATCAAAAAGTAACCAAAACATTGTTAGAAAAATTAAATATTAATAATTTGACAACTAGAATAGAGACTATGAAGATATGTAAAATAGATAAGATATTAAAAGATGAAATTCAAGAAATATAAAACACAGTAAAAAAATTATTAAAAGTAATTAAAGATTTTAAAACTAAAAATATATCATTATATCAAAATAAAAGAAATACAAAGTGTATTATTGTTATGAATATTAATACAAAAGATATATAGCATATAATTGTCAAATAGATTGCAAAAAAAAAAGATTAATACAACAAAATAAAAATTAAATAAATATAGATATATACTCAAATAATAACTAAAATAATTTAGGAGAACTTAATATATATCTACTTACTACAAAATCAATAAAAAACAAAATAAATTATCTCAAAGTAGAGCTAATAGATAGTGAAAATGATAAGACTAAAAATATAAGTTATATAAAAAAATTAAGAAAATAAAAACAACAAAAAAATAAATTAGATGAATCTAATAAGAAAAAGAAAACTCATGAGATAATTGTATTAGAAGATAATAAACTAATAAATATTCCAAAAAGAAGATCAAAAAGTACAATAATATATATACCTTTAACTGAAGTTATTAAAGACTTTGATATTCTAAAAATAGTATTTGATTTCAAAATTACTATTTCTCTTAGTTAACTACTCAAATAGTTACCAAAAGCTAGAGCTAAAATTATAAAAGCTCTAGTATAAAAATAAAGAGAAAATAATATATTTAATATAGATATTCAATAAAACTTGTTTAAAGAAAAGAAGATAGTATTATAAAGAATAAAATAGTACTAACTTGCCTTATATTGATAAATAAGAATTAGTAGATATACTAATAGATCTAGATTTGAGATTGAATTTAATATATGAAAAATATGCCAAAAGAAAGAAATTAGTATAAGAATATATAAATAGAAAGTACAAAATTGCAGATAAAAGTTTGAATAAATTAAAGAATATATTTTTAAAGTTAAAGTTAATATAAAGAGTATAGTAATAAATTAATAGTTTTATATCATAGAATTAACAAGTTTTGATATATTATTAAAAATATACTTATTTGCAAGTACTAACTATAATTTGTAATAGAGAAAGAACAAATACTAGTGTTCTATTTTATTATCTAAAAGAGAAGCTTTGTTTATAGTTTTAGTTATATCATAAAACTGAATAGAAATAAATAATAAAAATAAAAATAATTTAGATAAATATAAAGATAAGAAAGAAGAAATTAATTAGATAATAGCAATATAAAGATTTAATATAACAGAAAAAATAAAAAAGGATATAAAATAATTGAGCTAGAGAGTCAAAAAAAATGAGTTCAATAATTTAAAAGTAATTGAATATAAAGAAAATATAAGCTTAAAACTAATAGTATTAAAAAATTAATAATAAAGAATGCAATATTGTTAAACTTTAGGTCTAGCCTTTAAGCTAGAAAAAAAGAAAGAATAATAATATAGTTAGTATAAGAAGTATTAAAAGTATTTGTCTTTAATCTATCTAAGTTAAATAGAACTAAGTTAGTAAAATATAAGATAAAAACAGATAGTATAAAAGTTCTATTTAAAAGATTGAGACTAATTAGAATTAATAATTCAGAAAAAACTAAGTTGTTTAAAAGTATCTTTAAGAAATAGTCAAATATAGTCTATTAGAAGAAAGAAATAGCCTATATACCTATTATTGCTTTTCTGTAAATAAGAAGAAAGAAAAAACAAATTGTATTTGTATTATAAGAAACATAAAGCTATTAAACAAATATATAGAAAAGAATAGTTATCTACTTCTAATTATTTAGAATATATTGAAGTAAGTAGTAGAATATAATTAGTATTTAGAAGTAGATATATATAAAGAGTATTAGCAGATTAGAATTTATAAAGAAGACAAAAACAAGGTAGTAGTTTTAATGATAATAAGAGTTTTGTATTATATTATAATATGTATAGAACTAATAAATATGAGCAAAATATTTCAAAAATTAATAAACTTAATTCTAAAAAGAAACAAATAGAGAAATTCTATAATAGTATATTCAAATAATATTAGATTATAGAAAAATAGAGAGTTAGATAAACATATCAATATGTTTATAAAATTAGTGAATAAGTTTAAGGAAGCAGAGTTGATATTTGCTACAATGAAGTATTTTATTATTTATAAAAAAATTAATATAAATATCTTTATTGTTAGTAAAAGAGAAACTAAAGTAGATATGAAAAGATTAAAGAAGATTCAGAAATAGAGAGAGCTAAGAAATCTAAATAAAATAAAGTTATTCTATAAAGCTATAGAATATTATTAACAGTTTATAAAAGACATTAGTAAGATTGCTAAACTATTAACTAATTTAATAAAGAAAGATAATAGATTCTATTAAACTAAGAATTAAAAGAGAGTATTTGATATTGTTAACATATAAAACATAAGAAAAAATACAAATTCCTTAATAACTTTCAATTCATTAGTCCGAATTAGATGAAACATATACTATTGAAATCAGCTCACTGAGATAGTTTTAATAAGCTAAGAATCATTAAAATCCAATTACTAGATCTTGAGATAATTAAGATCTGCTTTTTATCATAATTTGTGTAATCTGATTAGCTAAGCAATTACTGCGCGAGATTCATTATATGTACTATATCTATTACCTATGGTTTTTGAGATACATTTACCACTTATCATATATATATCACATATCATATTTATTATATATTTCATATATGTATTAGTTATATTATATATTTTATTAGTGATAGTTGTAGCATATTGTTACCTCCGGATACGACGAGTCTGTCACTCAATCTTCAAGTTCCTCGTATAACGGATTGCGATAACTTATCGAAAGTAGGCGTAGTAATTAGGCAAAGATAATTCCAAGGCTTCGGTTATTGGTCGGACTCTGGTCATGTGGTTGGTCTTAACGTTATTGAATTTCTTAAACTTTCCTTAATCTATTCAGATTGACCTATCCTCTTTCTTAGGATAGTCAAACACAAGATTCAACAGGCAAGTTCTCTTTCACAATAACTTAAAGACACTTTACTCTTGTTCGAAGAGTAAATTAAACAGCATAATATT